CAGTCTTCAGGTTTTCGGGCCAGGTTTAGGATTTAGGCTTTAGGGTTTGGGGTTTAAGGTTTATATAGGGTTTGGACCTTGGTTTCGTCACTGCCGGCTGTGCAGGCTTCATGAGCAAACATACGGAGACTGTTTTCTCGAATTCCTTTGCTGCAAGTATCGGGTGCGGAAGCGCCCGTCCAAGAGAAGCTGCACCATGTCCTGGACAGAGTGGCAAGCAAACCGACCTTGAGGAATTTGCAGCTTGGTTTGCAGCTATCAGCAAGTGATTGCATGACCCAACACCTTTGATGCAGTAAGCTGGTAAGCAAGATTTTCTGCAGTATTTGCAAGGAGCTGGATTCCATGACTTGTCCCAAAACTCTATCAGATGCCAAGAGAACGACAGCTGGAGCTTGGAAGAACTACTTGAGCCACCTGAAAACTCTCAAAAGAGTTGGAAAACCTAAGGCTTTCATTGGAGCTTGAGGCCAGAGAAAAACATAAAGCAAGACACAAGCCCTGTTAGCACCTTCGCTACTTTTCTGCTACATCGTTTATGTGCGCAATGCAGTGAAAGATGAAACGACCAAAACCAAAAAAACGCACCACCATATCTACGAGAACTTACTTTCTTCAACATTAACAGCTCGATACCCTATATGTTTGCTAACGCACATAGTCATTGCTTATGACAATCCTGACACATGCAAACCGCCTCAAAGCTCGAGATGACCCCAGCCCGCACGCCCCTAGCAGTCAAATTCTGTAAAGTAGGGGCCTTAACAATTAGAACAGGGTTTTGAGAGGCTTAATATAGTACATTTATAAGGGGACCAGAAGGGAACACGATTAGAAATTGTTCCGACGGCACTGTCCGTGTAGCTCAACTTCTCGTCATGCTTGCGCCCAAGAATGGCCAAAGCTGCTGCAGGATCACCTGCTACAAAAGGCAAGATGAGAGAAGCTTGAGTCCCGGGCGGGCAGCAAGAGCTCTGCGTCGCGGGGTGTATGTATACATGTGTATAAGCACATAAAAAAATAGGGGGCACAAATACATATATATATATATACATATATTCTTTATTTCTCTACTCCTTATATTAAAATTACGCTCTTGGCCACTGCATGGACATGGAAAGGAGGCATACCTCACTCGATCTTGCATAAATTGGCAGCAGTCACATGCCACAGACCCCTCAACTCGAAACCTATAATCATCTTCAATACAAAAGAAAAGGTTTGTGAATTGGACGCTGGGCACTGAAAGAAAGTCTTGTCAAGGCCACATGTGTGGCACTGATGTTGCTAGAAGCTGTCACAGCAACGGTGGGGGAGGACCCTACTAGAAGCATTCAGGGTTTTACGAAAAAATGGACCCCTACTATCGACTATTTGCCCAAAGTAGTAGGATTCCCTTGTCATACGGGCCCCAATAAGGTACCCCTAATTTCGGAAACCCCCATTTAACGTAAGCTGATGATAGTTGGAGTGGCCGCCGTAACCTTGAACACCCTAAGTGCTGAGATCCAAGGGGTCTTGCTGCTGTTTGCGGATTGCTGCCGAGCAAAGAAAAAATGGTATGGCTCTGGGTTGCAAATTCAGGTCTCCAGATTTCGGGTTTTAGGCTTTTGCGCATCACGAATCTAGAGAGTGTGGCGCTGTTGGCGAGGGGACTGGGACGGGGAGGGCCCATAACTGCCGAGTGGCGCAAGGAAGCGTCCCAGTCGAAACTCGCAGCCAACAGCTCCATGAGCCTCACGGTGATGGAGGGTTTAGGGTTCAGGGTTTAGGGTTTTAGGGTTCAGGGTTCAGATTTTAGTGTTTAGCTGCAAAGGGCTAGTATTTCATCTTGTTTCGACCAGGCTTTCTCGACAGATTTCAGATGCATCGTGAGCTTGAGGCTGATGCTCCTGAAGTTGTAAGGGCCTTGTGATCCAATGTTGGCGACGCCAAAGCACTGAGCCACATAGGCTCATCTAGGTTTCAGGGGATTGAGGCCAAGGTTCTGGAACATGCGCGGCGAGTAGAAACAGGCGACTTTGGGCAACTGCAACGATGTTCGTACGAGACTAAAGCTATTGCCTGGTTATCTGGGCATGCCACTTGTCCACCATCCAATCCATGTGTTCTCAAGTCGAAGACCCTGCAACCCTAAACCCTAAACCCTAAACCCTAAACCCTAAACCCTAAACCCTAAACCCCCTGAACTCTTCCCTGGCTTCGCAAAAGGTAGAAGAAGTACGGAGGCCTCTGTGCACCGATCTCGCCAGGAGGTGGGGGCAGCTTCTCCACTTTCTTGCCAGCTGTCAAAGTATCGGACCTCCACACATGAGAAGGGTTTAGGGTTTAGGGATTAGGGTTTAGGGTTTAGGGTATCCCAGACTTCTGCATGCGCTTGATGGGATTAGGAGGAAGGCGGATCTTTAGATGTAAGTACCGAACTTACAATGCTGCATTCAACTGCAGGAAACTCCTTCCAAGGCTTCGTTCGTGGAAGATCTGAGCCAACCTAGCAAACCATACAAAAAGGCAGCCTCAGGTTTCTGTGAGCGGTAATTAATCACAATCCGCTTCAGAGAAGAAAAGGGTCGCAGGATAGGGTTTTTGACTGGCGTTCATGCTGTTGATGGGCTTTGGAAGGCACTGAGCGGTTGGTGTTGAGGACGCTTTTGGCATCTGGCAACCTTGCTGGCAGGCCTGTTCAGAGTGCTGTCTTGCAGGGCGGCGGTGTAAGAACCGACGTCCTCGGTTCGGCACTTCTTGTCACAGCTCAAGGTAGGGGCAAAAATTGGGCATTTGATCTAACCATGAACTGTTCATGAACTTACCTGCTGCCTTTGTTGTTCAAGCCTATGCATCCGAGAGCTGCAACGAAGCTGCTGGAGGGACCCAAAACCCGACTAGCCTTTAAGAATCAACACGGCTCTGCGCAGCGAAACCCAACAACAAAAGAAACAACTTCAACAAAGGCAAAAAAAACTTCAGGCTCCCAACAGCACCCGAGTATCGATGCCCTCGCCGCGCATCAGCAGGTCCCAAGCAATGCGGAGCTTCTTGTCCATCTCCAGCTCCTGCCATGTCGGTCGGTTTAGGGTTTAGGGTTTGGGGTTTGGGGCTTGGGGCTTGGGGCTTGGGGCTTGGGGCTTAGGGCTTAGGGCTTAGGGCTTAGGGCTTAGGGTTTAGGGTTTAGGGTTTAGGGTAGAGGGTTTAAGGTTTAAGCTGAGATCTTGGGGGCTTCAGGTTTTTGAAGGACACATTGCCTAAGTCCTGAACCGCTGCAGAATCGCCAGCTGGATTAGCATATTTAACCCTTTTGCAGCAGGCTTGCGTGAGTCCTCGCCTGGATCAGGCTATCGCTCTCCGAGCTGGCAGCACAAGCATATTTAACCCTAAACCCGAAACCCTAAACCCTACACCCTAAACGGCTGAAGTGAAGGCTGACAGGGCTCAGGACTGGAGCCTTCCAGCCGTCGCCAGTTCGATCCGATATTAACCCTTTTGACACCGAACCCTAAACCCTAAACTCTTTGTGCCGCCTCTAGTCTAGCCCTAAGATCCTCACAAGCCCGGATCTGAAGATGAAGATCACACTGAGGGAAAACCTTTTCAACCCAAAACCCTAACCCTAAACCCTAAACCCTAAACCCTAAACCCTAAACCCTAAACCCTAAACCCTAAACCCTAAACCTCGAGCCTCGGCATGCTATTTCAACCCCCACGTTGGGGGCCGCGAGATCGCGCGTTTTGTGCCACTGATTGGTGGGGATTATAGGGCCAACAGGCCATATAATCAGTTCAACCACGTACGCCAAGCTAAGGGTTTAGGGTTTATGGCTTTGGTGGCCATGTGGGAGTTCTACCAGGATGGGCTAAGTCTACTTTTAAAAAAGGCCCGTCATAGGGTTGATTGTGGGGGTTATAGGGCCCAAACCTAAACCCTAAACCCTAAACCCTAAACCCTAAACCCTAAACCCTAAACCCAATAGGCCATCCTTCTCGACTTGCAAGCGCCCGTCCCCAGTCTCCTCTACGGTATCCAGCTGCAGGGGGTCCGTGGAGCGCACTGCGCGAGCCATGTCAGGGACCCACTCCTCTACTGATGTTGGGGGGTTAGGGTTTAGGGTTTAGGGTTTAGGGTTTAGGGTTTAGGGTTTAGGGTTTAGGGTTTAGGGTTTAGGGTTTAGGGTTTAGGGTTTAGGGTTTAAAAGTTTAGGGTTTAGGGTTTAGGGTTTAGGGATCAGGGTTTAGGTTTAGGGTTCTTGGGTTAGTTACATGGTCCCTTCACTTGGGCCCTGATAAGGGAACCCCTTATATACCCCTTATGTACCCTATACAACCCAAGGGCCCATAGTTAGACTTGGAGCCGTGGCGGGCCTTGTGACTTTTAGGGTTTGGGTTTTGAATCTTGAAGAAGGAAAAACAAGATCAGTGGACAATTCCATGTACACCAAAGGCTCCATCTGCACGAAGACATTCCTGGTGGCATCAGGGTTCCAGTTTCTACCGGAGTGTAAGGGTGTTTGAGGATCAAGCAGTTGCACTGCTGCTCAAAACAAGCTTTGTCCAGTGTCTGAAGCACTCAACCGCATGTTGCGAAGACAAGCCTAAAAACTGCTAATGCCAGAACGCCAGCTCAGAGAGGTTTACACTGCAGTACCTGACGCGTTGATGTGTTGCACAGCTCTTTAGTGCGTGGCCCAGCACCAGAGCAAGCCCCAAAAACTTTGAGGCCCTCAGATAAGTCCCTCAAGCCTCAATTCGACAGCCAGGCTGGCCAAGATTCTTTACTCGACGAAAGCCGCTCCACTGTGGATTGAACCAGTTGGTGGAGATGCGAGCCTCCTCAGGCCTTGGAATACATGTTGCTTAAGTGTATCCAGGGTGTGGCAGGGTCCTTCTTCATGAACACGGATGACTTCTGGACCAGAGCGCCAAGGATTCTCCCGAACTTACACAATTGCTACAAGGGTCATTTGAAGACTGTGAATTTCCCTGAGGACATTCCGGGATCCCTTCATCTAAGCCAAGGGCAGGTTGTCCAAGGGCCGGCGCTTCCACAGTTTGAAGCGCTGCGCCTCGTAAAACTGCTTGGCCTTCTCCTGTGAACGTGCAGCACAAAAACGACAACAAACCTCCAACAAAACCTTCAACATCTGGGCTCGTGGCGCGGCGGCGCGTCCTTTTACGATGTGGCTAATGAAGCCCGAGCTCTACCCAAAGGCTGCTATGTAGTACCTTTTTGAGGTATCCCCTATAAAGAAACCCAAAAAGGAACTACATTGGAGCCTTTGGGTAGAGGAAGTCTTTCAACATAGAGAGGGCCGCCCCATCCCTCTCGGCCATATCTCATTGCCAGCACGACAAGGATTCCGAACCCCAAGCCCGAAACCCTAAACCCTAAAGTGGCTTTGCCCAGCTCTGTCCTCTGCCTGAAGTGTAGCCAAGGGCCAACTCTCAGGCTCCTGCTCTTGGCTAGGATGGGCCGCTGAAAGAATATCTCGGAACATGATCCTCTTAAACCCCATAAGGGGAACTATGTGCTGTCCCAAGGGCCTGCCGAGTTGGAGGTCACTCAGGGTCTAGGCGGTTAGGGCAACGCTTCGGGCTGTTGCGCTTGGGTTGTTGATGGTTTTTTTGCCAGCAGCCCAGCCCAGCTGGACCGTCTTAGGGTGGTTGGCTGAAAAAAATGAGCTGTTGCAACGTCTTGTGGTCTAAGCCGATGAGGGCTAATAAGCATCATGATAATAATAATAAGAAGAAGAAGTTGCCTATTTGGCGGCTTACGAAACAGGGAACGCCTAATTTTGACCCCAATAAGGTACCCCAATTTCGGACACCACCATTTCTTGCATAGTTGATTAAGATTGCAAGGCCTCCGGGAAGCCCTCTACAGAGTTCAAGATTTGGGTGTGGGGGCGAAGAGAGGGGCTATCCCAAGTGCTGAACCTCTGAGAAGAAAAGTCCAGCCGGAAAAAAATCGGGCCCTCGGATCCTCAAGTTACTGGTTTTATGGCAAGTGTCCGAGAGGATTTGTGTGAGTCTGGGGGAAATGTCTCGGAGCACCGGGCTGGCTCGAAGCTACCTAATCGAAACATCGGTTGCTGCGGAGTGGCCGGGGCTACCATCTGACATGTGTGTGGCTTAGGCACCTGCGCCCAGAACAGATTTTGCAAAGAGTGTAGGGTCTGACACTGATGGAGCAGAAGGGGCAGTGTACCTTTACGCAGCCAAAGTTTCAGGAAGCCTGGAAGGTGGCCTAAGGCTTGAAGGTTTCAGGTTAGGTCAGGGGGGCGCTAGAGGTACAAGACGCTGAGTTTGCAGGGACGGCTCGGACCTTGGCTGCACTCAGGAGGGTGGCTATAAATTAAACTTTTAGCTGCCTTATTAATAAACCCAATAAACCCAAAAAGGATAAGGATCTAAAGTTACAGCAAAGTACCACAAAGTGACCCCTAGCCCCAATCCTCACACCTCAGAATCCAGAAATCCCTGCTGCGCCTCATCGTCACGGCAATGCATGAGATCGACGAACCTTACTTGGAGGTTCATGGTACTTATTAACCATTCACAACTGTACTTTTAAACGGTACTTGCAAACATATCAGGGCACTTTAGTTGCTTATAAGTGGGTTATAAGTTCATTTATTGTTGGTGAATAAGCCCCAAACCCTAAACCCTAAACCCTAAACCCTTGATAAGTACCATGAACCTCCAAGTATGCCATGGTCAGGCTTGCCGGGTCGGATTGGGGCAAGAATGTCGCTGCCTGACTAGCGTCAGGGGCTTGTTGGGACTAGGGTTTAGGGTTTAGGGTTTAGGGTTTAGGGTTTAGGGACATTTCCTAGCATTGGGGTGCCGAACGGGCTGCAAGAGTGCACGCAAGTGTGCTTGGTGCTCCCTCCCTTCTCTTTAATTATCTTGGGGCTTCCCTGTCTTCGTATTCAGAGCAGGAGGTTCATTACGGCATCTTTCTCGGAGGATACCTCTCTCAATCTTGTTCCATGCCCCAAATCGAATCCCAAGCCCCGCCTTGAGGTTGAAAAAGGTGAACTACTGGGCTTCAGGCGACTAAGTTGCAGGAGGCTTCCTGGTTGAGGAAAACAGCCCTGAAGCTAATTGAGCCGTGCACCTCTTTAGCTGGGCCAAGGGTTTGCATGAAGCCGGGGCCTGGGGGTTGGTACGTTCTTGCTCGAAGTGGCAGTTGACGTTTTAATAGGGTCTGGGGCTGAAGATGCCGTGCTCCATCCCGGTCGAACCCCTCTTGGCCAGGGCACTTCTCAATCTCAATCTCCTGCTCCTTCTCCTCCTCTTGCTCCTGCTCTTGCTGCCTCTCCTGCTCTTGCTCCCGCCTCGGCGGCCGCTGGACATTGTGAACATGCAACGCTGATGAGCTAGTCCAGGGCTCGGTTCTCTCTTCTGATCAAGAGTCTACCCGCAGAGCTTAACCCGTCATGGAGAGCTACAAGAGTTGGACATGAGACTTGACGGGTCAATCCAAGCAGCGACAAGGTTCCAGAATGGCACAGGTGTTGAGAGTTTCACCCTTCCGTGGGAGGGATTAGCAAAAGCAGCTGGTGGGCGACCCACAGTTTGAGGGCTTCGGCTACAACTCAGCGAGTAATTCCAGGAAACCCTCTGCTGGAACCTGGTGCGCAAAATCGACTGCGGGACTCTCTTCTCACAGGTCTCGAAAAATGAACAGCCCAAAGCCAGGCAAAGGCGCTGCTGCTCCGTCTCAAGTCCGGCTTCGCCTTCCTTCCTTAGCATTAAGCCCTAAGCCCCAAGCCCTAAGCCCTAAACCGTAAACCCTAAACCCTTTTCCCTAAACCCTAAACCCTGTGGATTTCAAGAGAGATCCATGCATACTTGGTGGTGCTGCAGGGTCTTGGACGAAGGCCTTGGGACTTTGCAGGCTTTTTCTGACACGTTAGCTTCCTTCTCCTTTGTTTTGGACACATGGGCTTGGGGCGTCACGCAATGCCTGCAACCACCGCATGCGCAACTTAATCTCATTCAATACCACAGCTTGCGGGCAAAGGCCCCCAAACTCGCATTCCGTGGAGAAATCTTCTCACCTACACCCTGCTACTTGCTAACCTGAAATCTGACCGAACTCTCAACTCCCTCCGCAAACGGTAAACTCTGAAACAAAAGATCTCATCTGCCAGCTTGGACAGCTCCTGAACATTGTTCTTCACCTGGAGGGGCGTAGGGGTTTGGGGATTTCAAGCATGTTGTGCTTTCTGGGTTTGACCCGAAAAACCTTAAACTCTTAAGCATGAGCTTCAAACCCTAAACCCTAAACCCCATGCCAGAACTCTAAACCCGTCTTTGAGAGGGGATGGTCCTGGTGCTCGTGTTTTTCTCAGGGTGATTGAGAGTTAGATCTAGAGACCGGGTTGCCATGGGGTCTGCGTTCTTAAGTATGACGTCTATCGGGTTTACAGGCCTGTGTTACGAGTTTATGAATATGGTGCTTTTTTGGGCTTTGAAGATGTGTGTGTCACTCGAAGGGAAGGGCCTTGGCATGTAAGAAAATTGGCGTGTGAAAATGCAGTCGTTTACGATTCTGGAAGGCTTTAAAACACCATGGCCATACCTATACACATCATAGCCTTCGATGCAGCATTCCTGTTCTCCAAAATTGTCCCCATTTACGATTGTGAAAAAACCCTAAACCCTAAACCCTAAACCCTAAACCCTAAACCCTAAACCCTAAACCCTAAACCCTAAACAAAAGAAGGGGGCGCACGAGGGCCTCGGCCACCGCGTCCTGGTCCTCCTGATCCGCGATGAGAGCAGACATCTGTTCCACGCGGTCCTCGACCACCTCGAGGACTTCTTGGGCCAAGATGGTTTGTTTAGGGTTTAGGGTTTAGGGTTTAGGGTTTAGGGTTTAGGGTTTAGGGTCTAGGGTCTAGGGTCTAGGGTTTAGGGTTTAGGGTTTAGGGTCTAGGGTCTAGGGTCTAGGGTCTAGGGTCTAGGGTTTAGGGTTTAGGGTTTAGGGTCTAGGGTCTAGGGCTTAGGGTTTAGGGTCTAGGGTTTAGGGTCTAGGGTCTAGGGTCTAGGGTCTAGGGTTTAGGGTTTAGGGTTTAGGGTTTAGGGTTTAGGGTTTAGGGTCTAGGGTCTAGGGTCTAGGGTTTAGGGTTTAGGGTTTAGGGTTTAGGGTTTAGGGTTTAGGGTTTAGGGTCTACGGTCTAGGGTCTAGGGTCTAGGGTTTAGGGTTTAGGGTCTAGGGTCTAGGGTCTAGGGTCTAGGGTCTAGGGTTTAGGGTTTAGGGTTTAGGGTTTAGGGCTTAGGGCTTAGGGCTTAGGGCTTAGGGTTTAGGGTTTAGGGTTTAGTTCTGGCTTCGGGTGTAACGTTCTGTCGTCTCAACCGGAATACTGCATGAAGAAGCCTGCCTTGGCTACCCACACGACTATGTGCTGTAGGGTTGGGGAGACAGGCATTTTGATACTGGTGTTTTAGACTTCTATCTAGGAACAGCTTGCGGAGTCTGGCTATGTGGCCTACAGGGCCCCTGGATGTGTGAAACCAAACTCCTTTAGTATAAGAGGTCTTCACTTCATTCCGGAAGACAGGGGCGGGGGTCCTTCCTTGACACTAGAAATCGGAAAAAGGGATTAAAATACTGGGTACGTGCCCGCAGGCATCAGCAAACTTAAAGCTAACTGCGCCCTACCCCTGCTCTCACCTGGGACAAGTTGCGGCCCTGTTGAGGATAATGTGAACCCGTATGTGAACGCACACGCGCGCGCCTCGTGTACACCCCTTGGACGCGGCACGCCGCTGGGCAAAGTGAAAGCAATGGGCTCCTCCAGATTTCGGGCAGGTTGGTTATTGGTTGGTCAAAGGGTCTCCCCCCCATCCCCCTGCACAGGTCCACTTAGGGACTTTTTCCCCTAAGCCAAGCAGCGCACCCAAAGAAAAGGACATGTAGCAAATGTCGATGATCGCTTCTCACCAAGAATTCAGGTAGCATGCCCCGGCCGGCTTTACATCAGACTCCTTCCCGAATGCCCCCAAACCAGAGTTATAGATGCTCGCAAGTTCATCTCTAAGGAGAACTCCATGCTCCAGGAAAGCCCCTAAAACCCTAAACAATCCGTAAAGTGCAACGGGGCTGCTCTAAACCCTAAACCCTAAACCCTAAACCCTAAACCCTAAACCCTAAACCCTAAACCCTAAACCCTAAGCCCCTCAGTCCGGACCAGTCCGGTCCCAACTCCCGTCCTTGAACACTTGAACTGCCTCTTTGAGACCTGGGCTTGGGGGTCTTTGGAAGGCTTTGGTGACTGTAGTGACCGTAGGTTTAGGGTTTAGGGTTTAGGGTTTAGGGTTTAGGGTTTAGGGTTTAGGGTTTAGGGAAGTTTAGGGTAACTCCGGCTGGTCCAAGCGGCTATAGGTGAGGCACGGCGTCAGGGAAGTGGAGGGGTTGTGACGCGGCTTCAGGACTCGAAGCGCTTTAGTTTGTTGAGGAGGTTGGCCGGAATGCAACAAAAAACTCAGGGCTGCAGCTAAGAAGAGATTCAACCTCTTCCAACATTTGCTCTTGCATTCCTCTCTCGGAAGCACGAAGCCTTATGTGTAGTCCCTAAAACCTTGGGGCTGAAGCTGAAAGACCTGTAGCTGCTCATCGCAGCTAACACTTTGCCGACTTGCAGCCCAGAGCTTATAAGGATTTAGGGTTTAGGGTTTAGGGTTTAGGGACTACAGCTTCTGAGTATAGGAGTGGCTAGGGTCCGCGCCATCTGCGGTGACCATTTCGAAGTCTTTCATCACACCCTTGAAGGCGTTCCGGCGCCTTCCGTTTATTCGAGTGGTTCGTGGTACAACCGCATGAGAGGGATGCAGCAACATGTAGCTTCGCTGGACGCTCTGACTCTGTTTCAGGGTTGCCTAGCCTGTAACTGGCGACTTCTCAACTTTCTGAGGGGTCTGGGTGTCTGGGGTGTTTGGGTAACTCCCTAAACCCTAAACCCTGAGCAACGGACTTTCCCTAACCCTAAACCCTAAACCCTAAACCCGAAAGCTCTGTCAGGAAACCAAGAGGTGCCTCCCTGAAGATTTCCCAGGCTCCGCCAGCCCGAGCCCCTAAGCCCCGCCAAGTCCAACAATCCTGAAGCTCCCTTGCAAAAACCACAAGCGGTTTTGGGTTTTGGGTTTAGGGTTTAGGGTGTAGGGACCGTAATAATATAGGGGGCCCTAATACTTAGAAGAGGGTTTGGGAGGGGTTATTATTGTAGATTTATAGAGGGACTACAAGGGAATGCTACCAGTCGTTCTTTCGACCCCTATATCAAACATCATGACATGATGCATCTGGGGCTCAGTTTCTATCAAAGTGCCGCGCGCGAGCTTTTGACTTTCAGGTCTTTAAGCTGTTTGAGGAGCTAGAGGTCGATTGGGCCTCTCATTGCCTTTCGTTTTTTCAACGGGTAAGCTTAACAGAAAATCTGGGTTGTGAAAGGAGGCGGGTTTGGGCTAGGCAAATCTGAATGCTTGGGCTTAAAGTTCCATTCTTAGCTTACCCGTTCTGAATCTCCTCCAGGTCTCCCCAAAGGGTCCATGTACCTATGTAGTAGATACTTGGGCCTTAAAAGGTTCCTATATAGTGGCTTTAGGGGCCAAGTATATACTATATACCCTAAGCCCTAAAGCCTGAACCCTAAACCCTAAATAGGTACATGGACGCTTAGGGCCCAGCACCCGAGGACTGAAGCTGTGAAGGCACCAAACGTTCGCCAAGTTCTGCAGCTGCAGCATCGCAAACTGGATGCCTCGGCATCTCGTAAGACCAGGGCTTAATCGCTCACGCTGGGACATGCCAGGGTTTAGGGTTTGGGGTTCTGGCGCGGGAGTGCATTTGCGTAATTACTGTCGAGGGTCCAGGTCAAGGCAACCTCGCTCTCTGCTTCCCACCAATCTGTACACACATGTTGCGCACGCGACAAGTCCTAGACCAGCATCGGGAACAATGAATCAAGGGAGCTAGGAAATTTAGGGCGTGTGACAAGCGTCCAATGTGAGCCACACAGCTTGAAACCCTTCAGAATCGGTCCCAGAACAACATGCCAAATTCTACGCACCAAAGCAAGGCAAGGTCGGCAAAAGGAAGCCACAAGCTTTACCCTTTCTTGGTCACCCTAAACGCCGTGTAGTCTTGCTAGATCCGAAGAAGTAGGGAACGGCTTTATGGTTTGTGGTGACGGGGGTGTCGTCAATCGAACTAGCTACGGCAAAGCGAAACGCTTGGTCTCCAGAAGCGAGATACGCTCAGTGCGAATGGAGTTCACCAAGAGCCACGCTGCCACTGCCAGCAGCCTCCACTCGCGACACAGGTAAAGCACGCTGCAGGTAGCTGAAGACCTTAAGCCCGGTTCCTTCAAACCCATCTTCAAGCAACTTGACCGTGGAGTTTGGGGCTTGTGGGAGGAGCTTGTCGCTCGACAGTGCCCTCTCTTCTGCGGCTTTCCCCTGCGGTGCCTGCCCTTCTCGCTCTGCGTCCAGGGCTCCTGGTTTCCAGGAAACGGGCAACACTTGAGGTAGCAGAGTTTAGGGTTTAGGGTTTAGGGTTTAGGGTTTAGGGTTTAGGGTTCAGGGTGTAAGCTGTAAACTTTAAAACCCTCACATGCCAAAGCCGAACCTGCAAGATTCTGGTAAGCCTTCCTAGCAAGACTGTGCTGCAGCCTGGATGCTACCAGCGCGTCTGTGGTGCGCGTGATCCCACATCAGGTCCGGAGGATTCAAACTCCCAACCTCCTAACCTCTAGCCACCCCACCGCGATCTTCTGAGAAGGTCCTTTTGCAAAACAGTTCCAGACCCAGGCAGCGTCCTTGGAAGGGCCGCGTAGGGCCTCTTCGATGCCGGCGAGGTGGAGGTCCCGGCCTGGATGCTTGGGAGGCTCCGACTGAGGACTCTGGAATCTTCGTTCTTGCGGGTTTAGGCTTTGGGTTGAGGTTGGTCTTCAGAAGTCAGAGAGTCGACGAGCGGATTGAGGCGTGCGAAACGGCTAGCAAATCTAAACCTAGTTCACTGCACCAAGCCGCGAAAGCAAATGTGGTGACTTTTAAGCACGAATTGAGCGAGCCGAATTTCGGGGCATGGTTCGAAACGAGGACTTCTGGGATCGCAGTGCCTTTAGAATACAACCTCGAAGGCAAGATGATTCATTCTCTGTCTTCACCATCTCCACTGTGGCTTTATTGGCCCTGCATCCTGCTAGTGTTTGCTTTCAGGCTCTCAGGGTCGATTGTCTGCACCTGAATTCTGAGGTCAACAAACGGAATAGTATAGGGCCCATTTACTTATTGCAACTACTCCGACCCCTAGAATCGTGGGGCTGGGAAACCAGGGTGTTTCCGGCTCAAGCGGCTGATCAGTTCGACGACCTCTGGGATGACATAGAGGCAGATTCGCTGTCCACGGCCGATTCCTGGCGCTTCTGTTTTTTTTTATACAAATTTCGAGCTCGGGGCGTTAATTGCAAAGCCTCAGGATTTCGATGAACATTATACTACATGATGCCTTTTGACCACAGTGCAACGGTTAGGGTTTTGGGTTTTGGGTTTTGGGTTTAGGGTTTCGGGTTTGCCGGGCCAGGGCAGGTTAAGACTAGGTGCATCTAGTCCCGCTTGGGTGCCATGCTACCGAGCAGGAGCAAGAAACAGCGACCCTAAACCCTAAACCCTAAACCCTAAACCCTAAACCCTAATCCCTACTTGTTTAATCAACAAAGGCTCTGGCCAGCAAGAGGACATCCCTAAATCGGGGGCGCTTGAGCTCAAGCTGTTCAAACTTAGAAGAGGGTTTAGGGGTATTATAGTATAAAAATTGAGGGACCATAAGGGAATACTATTTTGGGGTTTTATAGTATAAAAGCACAGGGACCATAAGGGAATACTATGAGTAATTATTCCCACCCCTATGACACATCAGCAAACAACCCCCTCAGACTCGGCCATGGCACGGCTGCCGTCTAAAAAATATCAAGGCCCAACGAGGTTTAGGGTTTAGGGTTTTTTTTAGGGTTTAGGGTTTAGGGTTTAGGGTTTAGGGTTTAGGGTTTAGGGGACCCTGCTCGCCTCTCATGCGGTATGCTCCTTGGACGTAGTCTCTCCAACACCTTCGTCTGCCGGCACAAAAGATCAAAGCTTTCATAAGAAAACGCCACAGGAAGGTGCAACAGGTTCCCGACGTGAAAGAAATTTTGAGGTGTGGTCTTTCAGGGTAATAGTCTCAGGATGTGTCCACCACTTGCACGGTTCGCAATGAAAGCCAAGGCAAAAGCTCGTCCACATGGATGGACGGGCGGATGAATAGCTGCTGGGGTGGAACCAGCACGGCACTAGGTCACTCGGTCCACTGTACCCCGTCTATCAGCAGACGCACACAGCCGAAAACGTGGTACTTTACTTCTGGCAAGCCGAAGGGGCGAAACAGATTCTATAAACAGCCTGTAATGTTTGAAGGGCAAGGGTACCAAAGTGGTCGCGTTTGTCACCCCACAGGTCAGAAGTCACCCCGCAGGTCTCAACTGCTTTCGAGCCGCATGTCTTTGCCCAGGGTCAAAGCTGCCACGGCATCGAGCTTGTGCTGAATATCCATGCCCGTGGTGTGAACCTGCAACGGCTCAAGGGCTGAACAGAGCAGCGGGGCACATGCGGGGAGGAGATGGATGCATGCCCTGTTTGGAAGTTTTTCTAGTCAAGCGCACATCTACACGGATTGCTTTCTCATCTCTGCGGCATCGCATCTCCGTGCAATGCCCATCCCATGCCGGAATTTCCAAGCTTATTCTGGAATTACATCTTGGCATCTTGCCTAAACCTCGCGACTGCTCTACAACCCTCTAAGACGGGCGCGACTGAGTGTCAGAGTCTCCCTGCTTTTTTTGAGTCTCCCTGTTGCCGAACCCTAAGCTAAGTCCCTCAACCTCTTAGCACAAAGCCCGAAGCGAGGCTAGATTCTATGCAGCCCTCTGGTGGGCCTGGTCGTAGAAAGCAAAGCGCTTCTGGGCTGGTACCTTAGCAAAGGTGAGAAGAACCGGCAGGTCACAACAAGGCGGAGTATGCCGAATTTTGCCCCCCTTTGAACTCTTCCTAGAGTTATGTGAGCCAGCACCTGCTGTGAACCGTCAGAAAGGCGCGTGTCTATACTTACTCCTTGCCCGAAACAGAAAAATGCAGATATCATTGCCCTACTGAGAGAGTAGGGATCGTGGACATGCGACGACCAAACTCGTGCGGGCAGAAGCCGCCCCCCCTTGACCAACTAAATTGCTTTCGATAGGAGAGCAGCTCGCCGACTTTGCGTCCACCCATTAGTCCCAAGCCCTGCACCTTACCCTAAACCCTAAACCCTACACCCTGAACCCTAAACACCACGGCGGCCTCAAGAGCTTCTTCAAAAATAGGTCAGAGTCTAACCTCAAACCCCTAGGCCCTATGTCCATCCTCCCTGCCGACCCAGGCAGGTGTCGCCGCTGTCGGCCAACTTGGTCACTTCTCGAGTATGCCGAAGCCTCAGGAAATGGACGTCCACGTTGGCAGATAGGTTTCAGGGCTGGGGTTTCAGGGTTCGTGGGTTCAACCACGACTAGCTGCAAGAACGCTGCACAAGGCGGAGACGACCACCTCACTAGCGGAACTGGAGAAACATGCAAGTGATATAAATCTACTCGAACGACCCTAGGAGGACCCGCGAGATGTAAAAAATTGCCACCTCTGGGCGGGAGAATGCGCCACTGCACGTTGTGTCATACCTCCTGGCAGCCCCTGTCCACGGACGGAAGTGAGAAGATAGGCGAACGCCAAGAGGGCGCATAGAGATGTGCGGGCAGCCAGGCGGTGACCCTGAACTGTGGCGTTGGCGCAGGACACAGAAGGAGAAACACGCTTTACCATCACCTCGATTTCGTGCTGGTGCCGGGAAGGACGCCATGCTGCCTGCTATCTGACAACATGCCAGTCGGCATGAGGCATTTCTTTCTTCAGCACTTCCTGCCACGGGTTCAGTGGCTCAGAGGTCTACACAGGTCTAGGGTTGAGTCGGGTTGAGGCTTGGGTTGGATCGAGCCGCAGAATCTTCTTTCCTCCATCGTCGTCCAAGAAGACCACCTAGCATATGAGCCGTGGCAGCTTGCACAGACGCTGGAATCTCTGGAACAGTCCCCTTTGTGAATGTCACGCTCTTAGCCCTGTGTTGTGGAACAAGTCATTGAGACAAAGCCTTTTCCATATTGACCTCTGGACCACTGGCTGCCACGCATGCACAATGAAGACCGAGATGCGCCATCGATGGAGTCGGGCAGCACGCGGCTCTGAACAGACCTACGCACGTCAGGCACGAGGTGTCAACTTGGTGAGCTGGCATACGATTGTGGCATGTATGAAGAAACGTGAAACAAAAACAGCAAGTGGTTTCCATTTACTTCGAGCCGAAGACGCACGACTGCAACTGCTCAGGGATTGACGAATGACTTCACGGCAAGTTCTGTCAAAGGTCGGAACCCGCCACCGTCTGACAAAGCGAACAGTCAGGCCCTACCATCTGTGTCAAGGGCAAGCACGTACTGCAGGATTTAAATCGATGGCCCGAGCCGTGAAAGGGCAAAATCGGCTAAGACAGACCCAACAAAGCCTAAACCCTCAACCCCAAACCCTAAACCCTAGACCCCAAACCCCAAACCCTAAACCCCAGCCCCAAACCCTAAGCCCCCAAAAGCGCACCCTGAAAACTTGAAACCTCAGCCGGGCAAGACCAGCTAAAGGATGCCAAACGAATTGCCCCCAAGCCTGCCCGTGGGGCTGGCTGAAGGGCTGCCTGTGACGAATTTTGCCGTTTAGGGTTGAGGGTTCATAGGTATTCGGCCAGGAATTGCGAGGTGTGGGGGACGGAAGTAGAGTTCAATTGGCTTGTGCCTCTGAGGTTTTGAGAGCTTTGACTTTGTCGACTCGGGTTTTAGAGGGCTTGAACCCCGCCCAAGGCGAAACTTGCTGGAGTCAGGGCTCGGGGTTCAGAGGCCATGGAGCTGAGGTTCAGGGTTCCAACTCTTGACAGCAACATCGAAGCTGTGCGTGCGTGCGCGCGTGCGCGCGTGCGTGCGTGCGTGCGTGCGTGCGTGCGTGTGTGTGTGTGTGTGTGTGTGTGTGTGTGTGTGTGTGTGGCCTCAGGATGAAACGAAACAGGCAATCGGGAAGCCTTGGTTTTGCTGGCGCCAACACCTTTGTTCATTCTCTCGTAGTGTTCTTAAGGGAGGGTGGTTCAAGGGGGGTATGTAACCCAAGGATCCCTATTACTCCCCAAAACTTTCTATGCAGCCTCCCTTAAGAACCCTATAATTCTCTGCCAGCGTCCAGATGCGCTCCCCGGAGTTTTTGAAGAGCCTTTGATACCCTTAAGCCGCCATGGATCCCAAATATCAAACCCTGCGTAAGCGTCACAAAACTAAGGCTGGCATGTCTAGCAGCGCGGACTTCGGATTTGCAGTTGCAGTCCGCGCCTTCTGGCGCATTCTGCCGAGCCCGGCCAAAGCCCAGCAGGTATTCGGCCACCTGCACGTTCGATGCATGCCCCCCAAAACCCTCAAAGCAGTGCATGTCGAGAGGGTCAGGCACAAGCTTTCTGTCCGATGTTCCGCACAGGCTTCTGAAAGGGCTTGAGGGGACGTCAAGACGCTGCGCGAAAGGCCTATTCAAGACGCTGCGTGGTAGGCCTATGAAAGCCTGTGACATCTGCCAGCCTCTGTGTGTTGCCTCTAGCATGGGCTGACTGAGATGCGTAAAGCTGAGCATCTTGTGGCAGAGCTCGGGTGCTTGAAATATTCCGAGTCGGGGTTTTGGGTCTGTGGTTCTCGGGTGAAGGGGGGAAGGGGGGAAGGGTTAGGAAACGAAGCACCCGAAACCTTCAAATCAAGTCCTTGACACTCAACCATTCATCCAACAACACCCCCAAAGCGCCTCAACCCACCAAGCAGGAACATGAGCCGAGGGAAGTTTGACAGCACCGCGACAGAACAACCGATGGAATGTTTTAGTTTATAACCTTGCAGAATTGGACTGCAGAAACTGTTGGCGCTGTACGGAGCTGTCAGTTTGCAAGTCGTGCGGCAAGCACCAGCCTGAAGAGACTCTGGTTGCGAAATCTCTTAGAGCTTCCTCTCCCAAACCTCAGCCCGTCAACCGAAAGAGTTCAACCCTCTTTACATTTATGGAGCTGGGCGTCGAATTCCAGGATGCATGCCACATGCTGGAAATTCGGAAGCCTGCATCCTACGGGCCTATTGAGTTATGTTGAGCTCTTTCATGTCTCAGAACTGCATCATTGACAGATGTCTTGCGTGCTCATGGTCTCGCATTGCGAGGCTTCATGCGTGAGTGTCTCACTCTTGCGGCCGTTGACGCCGTACATGTAGACATCACACAAGCAAAGACATAGCCGCCGAGCATATGTAGTTGGTTTGCAGCTCTCACGCCCGCATACGCGTAGTCCATGTTGCCTAGAAGTCGGAGGATGCGATTTGATGGCGCCGAGGACCTTCTCAAGCTTCCCATTCCCCGAATTCGGAGCTGGGAGCTCAAACTAAGTGAGGTTTCCAAGCGCAGATAGATCCTGCGCACCCCTTTCAAGTGTGGGAGCTCATACAGCGCATATATACATAACGAAGCCAAACCAAGGAGCAGCGTGATCACCAAGCACCAAACAATACTTGCGGGGCACTGGCAAAAGGTTTCTCTCTCTCTGCCGCGCCATCCCCTAGGGTCTTGCTACGCAAGGGCACGAAGAGCAGGCCGGGCTCTCAGGAGGCTCAAAATGACCGCAGAACCTCCCTCATTCGCCTAGCCCACTCCATGGGACAAGAACTGACCTCGACAACCACACTTTGGGCCGCCAGGTCTCGACTGAAACACGGGCACTGAGCCTAGGTTTGCAACGCAGATTCTCGAGATAGGGCTTCGATGTCCAATGTCTGGGTCTGTGTAACCAACGCCTTAAACCCCTTTTTTTTGGACCCAGACTCCTGAAGTCAGCTGGGAAAGGCCTTTGACAAACTTTCTGTCCAGGCAAACATACATACATTCTGCCTTAAACCCTAAACCCTATGGCGCATCATGAACTCTTCTCACAGCATCTCGGGGCTTTATCCCACTCACTCCAAGAGGAAGGACAACAGCGCCGAAGCATCCTTGACTTCCAAAGACGAAAACACAATGGCTGGGAAGACGGCCACAGAACCTGCAGGCATGTCCAGCGCGATCTTCTGGCCGAACAACTTCCGTGCCACCGGATCAGCAGCTGCCACAGCTTCCACCACGACCCTTGGATCAAAAAGCCACAAGACGACTCGGCCTTCCAGCACATGGATCCCCGATACCGCAGCGGCGGGAGATAACACCGGGCGGCGAGTTCGGGCAACTTGCACAAAGCCTGACGGCAGGGTCAGGAGAGAGACGGAGCCTTGAGGATCATGTTGAAGCAGTGTGGGCATTCTTGACGCGTCTCCGGCAGCTCTAGCACAAAGCCAACGAAATGCCACTCTGGAAGATCTGATCCAGGAGGCCACTTCGTCGGGTGGTCGGTCACGGCGTGGGCTTTCCGAGCGAAAGGTTGGCAAGTTTGGGCAGCCTTGTTCTTCAACATGCTGTGAGAGATTGTTTTGAAACAACTCCATCATCCTTACGAAGCTCACATCCGAACCGCTCGCGCCCAAGACGGTGTCGTTGGCCAAGAACCTCAAATCACCCTTCCCGCCCACAAGGCTGACTTTGAGGTTGAAGGAAAGGCTGACGCGCGGAGTGGTGCCTCTGTGTGGAGGTACATGGTGCTGGAGCCAGGACGGGAAGATCAGAAGGTCTCGTGCTCGTAGTCCCTGAAGGCCCACTACACCCGTGAAGGTTTCAAAAGAATTGCATTCCTTCGAACCATCCAGTTCACCCTCTGCCTCTGCAGACTCTGCAGGTGCTCCCCGCGGATCACTGAAGCAGATGGTCGCACCTTCATCACGACCGGCTTGCAAATAGAGCACGCCAGAGAGCAATCCAGGATGGATGTGTGCGACGTTGCTGTCTCCTCTTCCGTTCACATTTGCCCAAAGTCCCAGCAGATCAAGCTGCAAGTCGCCAAACAGACGCTGGCCACCAGCCTCTGAAACAGCCCGTGTGACGTGGCTGATATACTGGCCTCCTGCACCTAGGAGGATAAGGCGAAGCTTGCGTGCTACGGACAATGGGAGCGCATCCAAGACAGATGTGTTGGAGTGCCAGCCTCCGCGATTAGACTTCTTTACGCCAGGGCTAACCTTTTTCAAATTCAAGACAGCAGTTGTCACGTCATTCGTCAGCGTGCTTGCAACACGATGCTTGGACACTGGCACCGCCCACAAGGGCCGCAACACTCTTGAAGTTACAAAGCTGCGATCGTTGCAGGTATCTCCATCATCACCCATTGCCCGCTGTCCGCTTGTCAACCAAAGTTTGACCAAAGCAGGCTTTGCACCCTAAACCCTAAACCCTAAACCCTAAACCCTAAGCCCTAAGCCCTAAACCCTAAGCCCTAAGCCCTAAGCCCTAAGCCCTAAGCCCTAAACCCTAAGCCCTAAGCCCTAAGCCCTAAGCCCCAGCACCGAACTCTCAACTCCTCATTCTGAAACTGCTGGGTGACAGCCAGGAGCTGAGGGTTCAGGGTTCAGGGTTCAGGGTTCAGGGTTCAGGGTTTAGGGTTTAGGGTTTAGGGCACGTCACGCTGAACGAACTCTTGTGTTGTTGCGGCGATGACCCCTGTGACATCAGACCGGGGTTGGTGGGGGTTTAGGGTTTAGGGTTTAGGGTTTAGGGTTTAGGGTTTAGGGACGTTTAGGGTTCAGGGTTTGAGTTTCAGCAGAAGGGGGCGTGGCCGTACCTTCCTTGGGGACCTCATGAACCCTGAAAGGGTTTATGGCTCATACATCTGAATCGGAATTAGTAGCAGTATCCAGGGTATATGACCCCAATTTTTGGGTTCATTTAGGTCCCCAAGATTTATATAAACTCTAGACAGAATTCGCAAAGCGGGTTCTCTGAAAGGGTTTAGGATTCTGGGGTTCTTGGACCTGCAATCTAGGGCGGCCAGGATCTCATGTGCCCAAAGAAACCTGAGCACCCCTAACTGCTAGACACGAATTACACATCTAATGGCTCTACGCCCTGCAGTGGACTCGGGGCTTGGGCCTTGGGGACCCAAACAACTCTCCTTGTTCCTGTAAGGGCATGTGTCTAGATTATCCAACCGCCACCACACAAAGCTGAAGCAAGATTTCACCCCTGCGCTGAGAAGCCAATTCCCCCTTACCAATGCAAGCTGAGATCAGGTAGAACAGAACCATTCCTAAACCCTATAAACCCTAAACCCTATAAACCTGAAACCCTAAACCCAGTTTGAAAGATACGCTTTTCAAGGGCTTCCGGGTCAATGTGGGACCAGAAAGTCTGTCAGTCTATCAAGACTCTACAGATCCTAAGCACAGGATATCAAACCCTACACCCTACACCCGCCCGAAATCCTAAACCCTAAACCCTAAACCCTAAACCCTAAACCCTGAACCCTGAACCCTAAACCCTAAACCCTAAACCCTAAACCCTAAACCCTAGGCCGGGAAAAGAACTATGGCTTTAAACCGATGCCCGAGCTTTGGTCACTGAGCCCACAGGCCTCCTGGTTCGTGAGTCCCGTGATCAAAGCCCCGGTATCGATGAGCGCATTGCATCGATTCTGATGCCTTTGAGAGAGGGCATGCTGAGGTCAGGTGCACGGATGGGCCCTTAGTGCGAAACCAATGAACCTGCTTGAATTCTCGGACCCCATTTAACCTGGACTGTGACTGCTTGTCAAAGGCTACACGCAGCTCATCATCGCCAACTACGAAGTCCTTCAGGATGTCCTTTTTGCCTTTCAACGCCCAACCCGAAATTCCCGAAACAGCTCCCCTTCTTGCCGCCTTCTCCAAAATCCCGAGATTTTTTCTTAACTCTATTTCGATCGAAGCCTTGGTTTCTTCACTGACTCACTGAAAGTTGACCAGCTCCAGTGTGGGTTTCAGAGGCTTGGGCTTGGGTTCTATATCATGTCGTTGAGAACCAGCATCTTCTAGGCCGCATTCTTGCCAAGTCGCGCAGCTTCGATGATGCTGTCAAGGAGCAGCTCAACGTTCCAGCCTCGCCGCATGAGGTAGGGGGGAGGGATTAGGGCAAAAGGTAGGGGGAGTAGGGCAGGGGAGGGGGGGGAGGGGGAGGCGGGGGACTGACGTAAGCTGCCGTCATCTTCGGACGCGAGCTCGACTTACTCTGCAAGCATAACCTGTAGGCTGAGAGCCTGCACCACGTGCCTGACATCAGCAGATTGGGAGGTTACACTGATCTAAGCCGCGCCTGGCTGCACAGCTTCGAAGGTGACGACCTTCAAGCTACGCAGCGGGAAGTTGGTCGTCTAAGGTTTCTATGATGGGCTGGAGGAGTTCTGGATTATGAGGGAGATTCGTCTCTTCTGCAGCCTGCGGCATCCAGATGCTATCGGGGCACGATGGCCCCTAAACCCTAAACCCTAAACCCTAAACCCTAAACGCTCAACCTGAAGTTCGATTGTCCGCCTGAGCTATGGATGTAGGTGTGAAGGACTAGCTCGGGCCTTGCACTATATATTCAGATCCGAATCTAGGGGTTTAGGGTTTAGGGTTTGGGGTTTAGGGTTTAGGGTTTAGGGTTTCGGGTTTAGGGTCCAACTTGTGGATTATCAGTCAACCCAACAACGCAATCTCCACCTGCGTGTCCGTCATCGTGCTCACCATTTCGCCCTCACTGCCTGGACGAGCAGAGGTCGGGTGTTGGCCGCACGAATGCCAGTTGACATCGATACGTCGTACTCTCTTGTCAAGAGTTGGGAAGAGTCCTCATACTACGCAAATCAGAGCCTAAGGCTAATCGTGCAGGATACGCAGAAGTAGGCGCAGTACATATTAGGAGCATACCGGGACTTGATTGCACATGGAAAACATGTATATAACGTGTAGGTCCAGGAGGCGTGGGATATTAAACTGATGCTGTGCATCCAGAACACCTTTGCTGGTGAGGCCTCGCACTCAAAATACTAGTACCTGATGGTCTGCTCTGCCTTTCACTACAAAGAGGCCTGATATTGAACAACGTTTCCCCCAAATACCTCTTTCTTATAGGGTTCTGAAAGGAGGGGGGCATGGGTTCCGTAAAACTCCCCATTACTCGCTTAAGGCTCCCTGGGTACCTACCCCCCTTGATGCCCCCAATCCCTTAAGGACCCTCTAACTTTCGGGCCCTGCAGCAACCCTCCTACGGGCCCGTAGGGGTGTTGAATTATCTGCAATCACCCTAAACCCTCCCTAGGCCCGAGACCCTAAACCCCCGTCCCAACGAATCCTGGCTCGTAGTCGCACTGTCCGAGCTCCCTTGGCATCCTTCAGTGTGTGAATAAGAGAATGAATGAGCCTGCGAATGAATGAACGCAGGGTGAGTACATGAACGAAACAAGCTCTGTCTCTAGGAGTTAATCTGTTGAGTCGTGAAGGTAACAGCCAGGATGGGAGAATGAGGGTGAAAAGGGCCAAATAATAAGTCCTTTAAAGGGGCCCTTTTCATCTCCCTCATTCGTGCGGTTAACAGGTTCATGATGACATGGGTGAACAGGAAAGGGGCAAAAGACCCCATATTTTCGTGCGTCTTTTTACTCCTTACAAATTAGCATATTTTATTAGGGCTTTTGGTACCTTTCGAGCGGTTAACAAGCCAGCCCAGGAATCCTCGTGACAGAACCCCTAATTTAATATTATAATATTGGTAATGAAAGCACGCAATATTATTAGTATTAAATTGGGGGCATTGGGGCGCCAAAGCCGAGGCTTTGCTTTCTAAGTCGGAGCTTCCATGTGCAGATCTCAGGCATTATGGGGGTTTACGAAAATAGGAGACCCGAATCTTGTCCCCCAAATAGTAGGACCCCAACAAGGTACCCCTAAGTTCGGAGACCACCAAATGGTTAAACCCTCAACCCTAAACCCCCAACCCTTTATAGAACTTTTCAGGTTATGGGCTTCAAAGAGGTTCCGGTTGGTAGGGCTTAGGTTCAAGGCTTCAGCAGATTTTTCCTCTCTGAAGCCTTCACGCGAGACCTTCAATCCGCGTGACTTGCTCACCCTAAACCCTAAACCGTAAACCCTTACACCCTAAACCCTAAACCGTGGCTTTCGTATTTTGGGCTTAGCGGTTCTCCACACCATGAACATCTGAAGTGTGCAAAGATGCACGCCCAAGGGGTTCCCAGAAACATTTCCGTGAATGTGCTCAGAACACGAGCAGGGCATCCTGAAGCCAACCAGCAAGGGCCCCAAACCCTAAACCCTTTGTGATCGGGGAGCTGAAGCCCTAAACCCTAAACCCGAAACAAGGGGACGCAACTCAGAGTAGTATGCCCGAGGGGCAGGTCAGACGGAGTTCCGGAGAAGCCGATGCGCTGCCCGAAAAGGATGGAACCTCTGCTCCCCCCGTGCCTACCAGGCCCTAAGACCTCGGGTATTGAAGGGTTTTTTTGTCCTATGAGCCCTAAGCCCTAAGCCCTATAAACCCCATAAACCCCATAAACCCTATAAACCCTATAAACCCTGTAAACCCTATAAACCGGTTTTTGCAACCACCTGCGGTTGCATGATGTTGATGGTCGGAGTTGGAGATGCCGAAAATGCCGGGCTCTTCAACAAAACGGACTTGGTTTTTAGGCTTCTGGGTCGGAGCCTTTGGCTCGGCTTTGAGCTGCGTGGGATTTCAAGGTTTAGGGTTTAGGGTTTAGGGTTGTTGCGCTGGACCCAACGAGGAGGACCTCAACACCTGTGCTTCTTCGAGCTTCTCGGATCTTCAGCTGCGACGCAGACCACGGCAACATCTCCATCTCCAACGGAGACTCCGTGAAGCTATGCCGATATTTAAACCCTATAAACCCTAAACCCTAAAAAACCCTAACCCTAAACCCTGACCCAAATCCGTCTCTGCCCAGGCGCCACCGAGATCCTGGCCCGAAGCCTGGGCAAGGGAATGTAGCAACTCTCATGTAGCCTAGGGTTGAGGGTTGAGGGTTGAGGGTTTAGGGTTTAGGGTTTAGGGTTCAGGTTTTGGGGATTGGGGTTTAGGGCTTTCAAGATAAAGCAGGGAAAACCACACCATTAGAGGCACCTCATTGCCACAATGTCACAAGGCTCCTCTGTCTGTTTCTTAAATTCTCAGCGCGTATACAGTCGCAGGCCCTGGCTACACACGCCCCGATGCCAAAACATGGTCAGGGAGGTCATGCAGATTCTAGGCCATAAGTCGTGCCTTGTGTTGCTGTTAGCAGGACCACAGAAGTGGGAGCAAACAGGTGCTTGTTGTAGCACCCCTAAAGGTACTTTGCTTT